ATTTAATGAAGGTGATCTCTTTTTCGATTTGTTTACAAAAAATGTTGTAATGGATGTGGTTAAGTATAATTATGACAAAATGTCTATCTCAATAGATCAATTGTAATATATATGTTATTTTGCTTTTCGCTCTCCCTTGCTCTTGTTTACCTTGCTCAAAACCTTACTCAGAAATTGGTGCTCATGCACCCCCTCCCCCTTATATCCGAAGTACGCACTAGAAATAGGAACTAAGATGGCGCCTCCTCTTAAGACAACACCCAAGATGGAAGTCATAAACATCCTGGAAGGAAGTTATGCATGAATGGATCTAACCAATTATAAGCTAGAATGCTTTTTGCAATGCTACGATTAAACATACAAAACATACACGTGCAGCTGCCTATAAAAGGCTGTTAAGCTGAAGAATAAAGCAGAAGTATCTTACTCTGAACAACTGGTCTCAGCGTTCCTTTCTTCTCTGAGTGTGCACTCTATAAATAATCAGGCCAGGCGGCAGATATAAGTACGGAACCCTAATCCGATCCAAATTTGTGAGCAGGTCCAAAACAATGTCACAACTGTGGCCACATGCCACAACTTCAAGCTCACTCACGAGATTGACTATAATCTCAATACAAATTAGTAAACTAAACATGAGATTGTAGTCCATCTTGGGAGCGAGCTTGGTGTGGTGGCTGCTTTACAACACACACAAGGACCATGGGGAACAAAAGTAGTCACCCTCCAGAAGGAAGGACAGTGTCAGCACCAATTCAGAAATGATATAAGGATCTACAGCTGAGTGATAAACAAATAAGCTACATATTTATTAAAAGTTAAGGTACTTGAATACATTTTTAAGATTTAACTTTTGTGTTTAGTGTCACTTTAATTATGATTGGTTTAAGGAGTGCCTATCTTATCTTTGATTTTCCTCTTCCTTATCCACAGCTTGGTGACTAGTGTAGAACAGAAGAAAGGGTTATAGCACAAAGTAAAACAGAAAAAGGGCAAAGAAGAGTAATACAAATACATTTTTCGAAAAAAAGCAAATACAGCTAGCATACTTGAATCCTGAAAATACATATCTGAACGTTCAGAAGAAACAGCTAGTGATAAAGGCTGTGGAAGAAGAAATTCAGGAGAAGATACCTAGGAAGTATAAACAACTTTGATGCTTTTCAGATCACTTTCTCCTGTGTTTTTAGCTGTGCTTACATGCATTTACACACCATTACATGTGTTTAGCCACGCTAAGAGTTTATAATCGAACCCCGAATGCACAAAATTCTATTTTCTCTGCATTTAGTTTTACTGTAAATTGCGTATGGTAAAAAACTACAGTGGTGTAGTAACATATGCAATTATTCAGTTTGGAAGGTACTCCATTATTATATTCAACCAAATGTGCTTGAAACTAAAATTATAAACATTCTTTATAAAACGGGAGGCTTACATGGACAGTCATTCTTGTCACATCCTGTTGAGAAGTCAGCATTGGTAGTGCTGCAAATAGGTAATTCAATATTATCTTGTTATGCATGCTACATACTTAATACAGTTTCCGGGTTTATCTTGGCATAAGTGACCTTTAAGTGCCATTTCTTTATTTTCATTTGAAGCCAATGACCATGTTTTATGCCTAGTTGTCGTGATTGGCTTATGACATTTACTAACAATATTTCTAATGTGTTTACTACTGTGCTTGGCAATGCCATTGGTATTGTATTACCTATATCAATAGTAACAGTCTTTAACTAAGCCAGGAGTTATTAAAACCGAAACTCCAGCTCAAACTTTTTTACATTTTCAATATTGTAACATGGCAGGGTTAAAACCTCTGTCCAGATTCTATTGTTAAAAATAGAAGGAGGAGGCGCATGCGCTGGATGGCTGACGTGTCTTAAGGCAGCTCCGCTCCTCGTCGGCGTCTCAGGGGACTCGTAACACAGCAACACTGATCCGACCGACATGCCACACATACCGGCAGGTACCATGAAGACCCGACAGCGAGCCATGACATCAAAGACTCCCAAATCGAAGCTACGGAGTCAAAATATAAAAGACGCCCTGGCAGGCTCCACATCCAAGATGGCGCCGCCCCCCACTCGCTCTAACACTGCTAAAAGAGCCTCCTCCCCTTTCTTTCTAAACTCAGAGGGAGACGACACAGGCCGCAGAGCCACAGGGAGCTGCTGCAAAAGATTGATCACATGTTGCAGAAAGCACTACAAAGCACCTCCAGGCAAATAACAGATAAGCTGACAAAGGAAAATCCGTGAGCTGGGTCACAGAACCGCTGTGCTGGAATCCAGAATGGATGATGTTACATTTTCTCTGAGTACCCACGACCGTGATTTAGACACATTTTTCACCGCGCCGCACTAAAGATGGCCCGCCAAGAGACATCATCGTCAAGTTTCAATATGACCGCACTAGAGATGCGATGCAGCGATCCTGCCCAGCGCCGACTACGAGAGGCACCAGGCATCAGAGTGAAACTGTGAGTGAGGGAAGCTGGGACGGGGCTGGCTGTAAATCTATTGCTATAGTGTACTGGACATGTGTAATGTACAGTATATGTAGTACATATATACAGCACACACCTCCACTACACTCCAGCAATAGCGTTACAATTCTCCGCTGCTAACATGAATAGGTTAAATCATGATCCATAGTACATAACATGTAGTTGTACTATGGATCATTTAAAATCACCTGTCCCTTTAAGAAAAAGTATCGGTAATTGGTATCGGCAAGTACATGAGGGGAAGTACTTGTACTTGGGCCTGAAAAAGTGGCATCGGGACATCCCTAATAATTAGTGTGCAGTGTGAGGGAAGCATCCTACCATCTCCTCTTCAGAATCTCTGAATGAGATCTACAGTTGAAACTGGTCTTGAGGTGGGGCAGACACCATATAATATGTTAGACATGGGCGCAGGATGTGCGGAGTAAATAGTGCTGATAGGATAGGTAGATTGTTTTCATCACATCTAATAGAATGAATAAACTAGACTATGTAGACTAGACTTCCAATGGAAACCTGTGCAATAAGGAATATGTAGATTGTCATTGTTGAGTTTCTTATGAAAATGCTAGTTGCATTTCTGTCTCCTACTTCTGTACTCTCTAAGTTACTAAAACAGGTCAGATATGCAGGTCAGGACAGTTAGAGTGATGCCAGGAATTTTTTTCTGGCAGGATAGTGACTTAGTAGTCAAGACATGAGACAATGACAGCCAGGGATCAAACGATTTGATGCTCAGCTAGAGGTTGGAGCACAGCAGCCTGTGAACACTATTTGCCAGGGACTTTAATACACTACTTCCAAAGCCACTTCCACTAGCCTGTGCAAACAGCTGCAAGTGTTTAAACTTTATGTAATTTTGTAATTTGTAGTCTTTATGTTATTTTGTAGCCTACCTGTGACCTGAAATGTATTGACTCTTCTCTGTTTTTTACACCAATAAAATAACTGGTGCTCCATGAAGATATGCTTTGTGACTCCACTTTTGGAACTCCTGCCTCACTTTTTTTTAGATCACAATCTTCGCCATTGAACTAACATTTTCAATTGAGAGACCAACAATGGCAGCCTCTATACTTCCTCTGTACGGATTTCCTGAAAGGACAGCAGAAACAGCACTAGCTATAGTACTGTCTGTAGAGAAGAACAAATAGAAAAATGAAGAAAGAAACAAACAGGGATCCCTCAAACTAATAAACACAACTTATTGGTATATGTGTAAGTAGATGTGTGATGCAGGCATGCTGTGTGCCATAAGACACTATGGGCTTCATTATGCTGCTGATGCCTTACCTTACTTCACATATACAATTTGTTATATTTCCAGTAAATTATGAAGGATAGACAAGAGATGCCATTACTGAACTGTATTTTAAGGTGCATATTTTGACTGTCATTCTGATTCTGACTTCAGTTCGTTGTCATGAAAAATCTGAACTTCTGACATACTTGTTCCAGGTCAGTGATTAACTAGCCAAGATCAGAGTGACAGCTTAGTAGCCCATACCTTAATAACAAACAAGTCAACCATGGCAGTTCCTCTTCACATGTACATGTAAACAAACATATAAACAATATTATAGTTAAAAATTGCTAGTGAAAGAACATGTGAATGGACTGGTATTGTTTTACCATGTGATATGTAAACCATTATGATTCATAAGATACCTGCACTTTATCAGCATCCTATCTGGACATGATCTTGGCTAGCCTAGAGGAGGGGCTTCAAAGCAGAGGACAAAGAGGGACTAACTTTTTAAATGACATAGGCAGCCTATGTCATTTAAATAGTAAGTCCCAATGTTGATGAGATTGGGTGGTACAGTGGGTCTCAGCAAGGTTTCTATTGGACACTGTACAATGTTAAAGAAAAACTTTACTAAGCATTAAAAACACATATGGCATTAATCACTGCAACTGTATAAAAAGTCAGGACTCAGGATCTTATACTGGCCTATCTTTAGTGATTTACATTTGGTTGCCATGATTCACTGCCTTTAGCACTTTGCTACTTGGATGATTTATTGCATAAGTTGTTGTTATTTAAGGGGTCTCCCAACAATCCGGTATATCTGGAACAAATAGAAGCACTAAGACCTTTGTATGGTTACGTCTCCTTTTAAAAAAGTCATATGCATGTATGAAGTGTTAAATTACATGAGGTATGGCATATCACTTAAACACACACACACTTTATATGTGTAAACCAGTATGTGCAATAGCCCATAGAAACTAATTAGCAATAATGTTCACATATATGCCTATATTCAACTATCAAAACCTTATGTCAAGGTTTATTTTGCACTGTAATTCTTAATTTGAGTATCTATCATAACATGTTTCAATGCATGCTTATTGTGAGCATGCGTCATAATTACTTATATAAAAGGTTTGTTGATTTTTTACATTATTCATTAGAATAAAGTTATATGATGGAGCCAAAGCATGCAACAACTTTCCCAGATAAAATAACACATGTTGCACTTACCTAGTGGATATTTTTCTAACAAATAGAGATAGCTCGCAAAGAAATCATTTCTTATGGTCTTGTGAAGAACAAGGGACGTGCTGTGCCTGCAGAGTTCTTCATCTGTGTTTTGCCAACGTGACCTAAATGCAAGGTGCGCTCCAAGGTGTTCCATCTTTGTGATTGAAGAAAAGATAAACCATAATCCATGGATGCCTAGGCTGCTGTATTTACCAGTTTTAGCACTTGTCACTTTACACCATGAACAGGGAAGTGTAAGCCTGTGGTCTTGGCTGTGAATATTCTGTGAGTGTACAGCAGCTGCTTGTTGGAATAGATAGTAAAATTCAGATGGACATTTGCTGCTTTGCAAGTGTAAATTGATACGTTCACCCATATTCAAAAATGGCAAGGCTATTTCTGGAAGATGCACTTCAGAGTCCCTCTGTTTGGATTTTTAAATATACAGACCCTGTGTCATTATCTCCTTCATAAACAGTTCAAATATTCTGGATAGTAAACATATATCTATTAAATGATAAATACAATCAGTTTGCAAAGTAATTAGGTGTAAAGGGCTGCATTTTAAAAATCAGAGTAGAGCTAAGCTCACCATCAGTACAGTCATGTATAAGGCAACCTTTAGTATGTGCTATATAAATCCTGTATAATAATTATATCAGTCAATCGGCCTGTTTGCTATTAGTGATGGGCCGAACACCCCCGTGTTCGGCTCGTATTCGAACACCCAAAGGGCCGAAAAGTTTGAATACGAACTCGAACCTAATGCAAGTCAAAGGGGGGGTCGAACTTCCGAAAATGATTGTCCACTTTAAGAAGGCTTAGATGCAAGTTATTGGCCATAAAAGGTGTATGGGGGTCCGAGTTCTGCCCTAGGTGACAGGAATCAATGAAAAAAACTTTTCAGGCCCTTAAGATCTGGTAGGAATTTTAAGGAGGAACCCTACCGCCAAAAATGGGTGGAAAAACACGTGGGGTCCCCCCTAAAATTCCATACCAGACCCTTGATCCGAGCATAAGCCTGGCAGGGCCGGAAACGGGGGGACGAGTGAGTGGCCACCCCCTCCCTCCCACACCAGGTCACATGCCCTCGGCACTGGGAGAGTGTACCCGTGCCAATGAGGACAAGGGCCTCGTCTCCACAACCCTGACCCGGTGGTTGTGGGGGTCTGCGGGCAAGGGGGCTTATTTGCATCGGTGTACCCCTTTAATTAAGGCGGCACCCAGATGCCGCCCCCCTCCCTTGTGAATAAGTAAGGGGTACTCAGACCCCTACCCATTCACTAAAGGGTTAAATAAAATAGTTATTAAAAAGTCCAGACTTTTGATAAAATCCTTTAATTGAAAAAAACAAAACATGTGTTTGACAAGTCTTTTATAAAAAAAAACAACCCAAAAAATGGACCCACTGACGTAATCCATGGTCAATCACTGCGTCCAGCGTTGTCCACGAGGACGACGAAATAAAAAATAAAACAATAAAAAATAAATAGAAATATATTTTTTTTTAACGCTGGACGCTGTCCCGTCGACTCCCGCCGCATAATGTCATTTTGACAGATGCAGGCAAAACAAACAATTGGGCGGAGCTAGCGGTGACAGTTTGCCGACATTTGTGTAGTTGCCGGCATTTGATAGGCGAGACATGATTGGGCAGAGTCATCATGACTTTGCCCAATCATGGCTCCAAATGAGTACTGAGCCCTGATTGGGCAAAGACCGTGAAAATCCCATAAAGTTCGGCAAACGCTTGAACGGCCAATGTTCGATTCGAACCGACGGACCATCCCTATTTGCTATAGCTTCCTGCAGAGCTCCTGGCGCTGATCCGATTCCACACTATCAGGGTGCGTGGGGGATCTCATCCCCCTTCGGCTGCTCTGATTCTTTTTAACGAACCCTATGTTACTATTGTGTCCTACAGTGACTAGTGGTCAGCACGAGGAACCACAGTAGCAATCGGGGGACCCGCTATTCAATCAGCCCGAGGAATAAAATCGGATCAGTGTTGAAAACATTGCTACAGAGCTAAGTTTTAGTAAACAGGCTGATCAACAGGCATGTATAAAGCTGATTTTTTTTTTTTACAGGTTAGCTCTTTTTGCCATTTTGAAGACCCTCTGAAGGGGGTCAATTTAACATAAATTCAAGTGTATATGTAGCCAAAACCTTCCTGTTTGTTTTGGACTCTAAGAGGACTCTCATGTATAGCAGGGAATACAACAATTACTGCTCTATAGTGCATGGATTTTGTTTGCCCTGGCCATGAGTATGACCGCTCTATACTATATTTATCTTGCACAGATCTTTTAAGTTTTAAAGGTGGGATTGATACAATCTGAGCTGCAATTTACCCAGTCATTTTGATTGGAAATATTTCAGTGACTACATCTTGTATAATAATGTTTTGATGTAGTAGGTTAACAGCGATCCTTTTATACCAGAGGGTTAAAGCAGTGACCCCAGTGTGAATTTTGGATTGCTGGGCCTCCAGTGCATCCCTGTGCCTTTAAGGAGGAGTGGGCTCCCTCCAGGCATGCCTGCATTCAGTGTATCTATTGCTTATGTTACACGTGAATTATCTGCATGAACCCGACAAGATGGTATTATAAAGATTTCTAACAAAGCGACTGCAAGTTTGCAGTAATCATAACAACTGTGGCGAAGGATAATTATTTCAATAAACACATTGTAACAATTAGGGATGCACCGATACAGTTTTTTCGGTATCGAGTACCGAATTTTTTTCCCCGGTACTCGCCGATACCGAATACTAATCCCGGAAGTCCCATTAAGGAAGCCAGGCGGCGTGTAATGACTCGCCACCTGGCTTCCTGATTAGCTGGGAAGCCTGGTGGCGTGTAAAGATTTGCCACCCGGCTTCCAGATTAGCAGGGAAGCGGTCTCCATGCTCCCTCGTCACCAGGTGATGAGGAAGCATGGAGCTGGCTTTCTGGCCAATCAGGAGGCCCGACTTCCTGATTGGTCGAAAAGCCGGCCAATCAGGAAGCCGGGTAAGGAGTCAGTACAGGGCGCCCGGCATCCTGATTGGCTGGGAAGACGGCTCCAGATGTCTCAGATCTGCACCTTATACACCTTAGAATTTGTGGTTTTAAGAGCATAAGGAGAAAAATTTGAAAAACATTTCCCCCCAACATGATTTTTTAGTAATTTATACATTTACAGATATTTACCCCAAACTATAATCAACAAAGGCTTCTGATTAAAATGACATCTTTCCAGCGTAATCTTTATGGAATATAGATACATGGTAAAAGTCAAACTTAAAGTCCATAATTCAGTTTAGGAGTTTTTTTCCCCTTTCAATGCTACATTGTGATGCACACAGGAAAAATGCGCGCGCGCAAATTATTCACCACTGCGGTTTTATTTTTTACTATATAACGAAAAAAGTACAGAATATTTAAAAAAACAAAAACAGCTTTCCTTTTATTATGTTAGGAAACATATTACCCAATTTTTTGGTAAAATATAAAAGACGGGGTCACGTCGGGTAAATAGACACCAAACATGTGAAGCCTTAAAATTGCGCGCGCCCGTGAAATTGCAAAAAACTACCATAGCCAAAATTGGCCATAGCTGACGCTTTAAAATATTTTACTGCTCATCAGTTTGGTGTTATCAGTGATTGATGGCCCTAGAATTAATGCTGTCACTGTCATGTTCACGGCGATATGTAACATGTGAAGCCTAATTGGCGCAATCGTCGTTTTTGCGTGTAGGCACACCTAACGCATTTTTGCACCTCTATGTGGGGGTGGGGGACTTGAAAAAAATGTTGTGGGGTTTTTTTTTTTGTGTTTGTAAATTTTATTTGGTGAGCAAATTTTTTTTTTTACACTTAACTTTATTGGGCTAAGAATCCCCCTATGTGATATCACATTACAGTGACATGTCCCCTTTATGGAGACTTCAGGGGTCTCTAAGACCCCTAATGTCACCTAGGGACCCCATGAGAAGCTGATGAAGCACAGATCTGGCATGCGGAAGTGATGTAGTAAACATCGATTCCTGCATTCAGAGACTGGTGAGGAGAGCCGAGGGAGATTGTGTACTGATCTCCCTCCGTTCTCCGTGTACAGAGCCACACTGCTGGTCCTGGATGGATGCCTGGGATCGTGGGGACGGTGAACACAGGAGAGGTAAGGAGGGGGCGCACCCTGACATGCAGCATACAAGAGCGATTGGGCGTCTTTACAGACGCCGGGCCGCTTTCATGTAAACAGCCATCGAAAGTAATTTAAAATTCTGGCGGTTTACCGCTCGTGCGTGGCAAGGGTGCGCACGAGCGCGTACGAAGGACGTCTAAAGACGCCCACCTGCATCCAGAAGACTCCCTTCTGGCCATCTTTCAGCGAACGGGAAGTGGTTAAAGCCAGAGTGTCCCCCCCCCGCTTTAAGGACTTACCTTATGTGATGCCTCTTGTTTCGAACAGCTTCTTTCTTCCACTCCTTTTCCAAAGTCCTTCCAGCGCAGACTCCTTGGGTCCCACGGAGTTCGTCCAGCATGTGTGCTCTTGGCTGCCTTGCTGCGCCCATTCAGTGTCAGTGGTGCTCCCCGAAAAAAAAACGCTTAAAATCATTTTAAACTTACCTCGTTATCGCCGCTCGATCCCGCGCCGAGAATCAGGAACTGCTCGTACGGCCGCAAAGGATCTTGGGGCGGGTGCATGCGCAGTTCCGATTCTCGGCCGGGAGACGAGCAGAGACGCAAGGTAAGTCTATGGACGCGTGCACCCGCCTGCAGACACCGCTGGATCGGAGAGACAGAGCAGTCAGCGCTGGATCGGAGTGACGTCACACCGCTGGAGGGACAGATGAAAACATGGGGAAAGAAGAGGAAGATCAGAAAAAGAGACATAATTTAAGGTAAGTGCTAACATTTACATGGAGGGAGGGAAAAATGTTTTGACTTTACTATCACTTTAATTCTACTTTAATTTTCAGCCATCCTTGAGATTTACACAGCCATGCCAGAAAGCTAGGCCGATGACCTGACTTTTCCCTTCTGCAGTTTAAGTGGCACTAAACTCAGGAGTTAAATCTTCAATATGCATTCAAGTACCCTGACTATTAACAAAATGTTTCTTATTACATCTACAGTCACGCCAAGTTCTAAAAACATACATAATA